ATGTGTTCTTGCAGATAACCGTACTTTTGCAGGTATCGAATCGCTATATCGACGTCGTCGTCGTGATCGTAGTCGTCGCCAAAAGGTTGCTGTTGCTGCGTCATTTGTCCGTCAACACTATCGACGGCGGCGGCGGCGACAACGGCGACGATGCGAATCGCGACCACAACACTGGCGATAACGATAAAGATAAGTGTCCTCCTCATTATTATCGCGGTAGTAGTACTTCCTTCTCCTCCTCCTCCTCCTCTCACACCGGTGATTCGAACGCGAATGAAAATCCATACAGTTATGCGCGCTCGGGGCGCGACTGAAACGGAAGGGAGGAAAGAGGAAGTCGAAGATGATCGTCGATTACCAGACGTTCGACTTGTGAATCTAGGAATTGTGCGATTTATTGAAACCTAACCACTTTACGTACACACGATCGCCGCGCCTGCGCAAAGCTTTTTCCACGAGGTAAACGTCGGGATGACCGGTTCGTTGCAACTCGTGCTTGTAGAATTCTCCCTTTATCGCGTTTTCTCGAGAATCTTACAGCAGATACGTCACCGGATTCGTTCGTTGCACTCTGGCCACCTTGAAGATTTCCGTGGATCAATTGGGCGTGTAACCTTTCTCGAACACCGTTTTGAATTTGCTCACGCGCACCAGATCATCGATCTTGAATCTCGCGGAAGGAACTATTTTTGCGTTATTGTAGACCATGGCCAGAAGATCCTGGGCGTTTTTTCGCGTCACATCGATCGGTCGCATTCCGATCGTACGATGTCTACGAGCGATGTAATCCGACAGCAGTTGCGGCAACACATCGATCCATCTGTACGATCCGTTGATCGTGAACAATTTCCACATATTATTCTTCAAAGTCCAATTGAATCTTTCCATCACGGACACCTTCACCGAATGAGTCAAATAGTGATTGATATTGTGTCTCGTGAGAACTTTTCGCACATCGGCGTTATAGAATTCCTTCCCTTTGTCCGTTTGCAAATTTGTCGGACATCGTTCGCCGCGCACAAGTCTCGACAATTTCACGGCTACCTCCGCTCCATTCTTGCTCTTGAGCGGTATACGCGTGTTTGCTCAATATGTCGATCACGGTCAAAATGTAATTGTGTCCTTTGTTCTGTCGAGCGTAGGGACGCATTTCCACCACATCGGCTTGCCACAGATCATGATAACCGCGCACTACGACGCGACGTCGTGAAAAGTTTCTTCGAACGGGTGCATGCAATTCCTCCGCGAGTTTTCGTTTTTCTACAGTTATCATTTTTTTTATTCTAATGTTTTCTCAATAAATAATCCACAGTCAACGCGACATGATCCATAACGATCTTCAACGTTTTTATATCTTCATTCATTTCACCCGATTCCTCCTGCGTCGTCAGGGGCGATTTGTTTAATTCTTGAAGCAGATCGTTTCTCGTTTTCGTCAAATCGTTTTTCACCTTCAGGCCTACATCTTCAATTTGCGTCGATATTCTTCAGTTCTTGAATCAGGTCATTTCTTACCTTTTCCTGCAAAAAATTGCATATCTCTTGCTGATAATTATCGATTTTTCGCTCAATAGTATCGAAACTTCTATTACAAAACTTAAATTCTAAATCCAATTTTTGATCAAAACATATCGATATGTTCGAGAATGTCATGATGCATCTTGTCTATCTTGTATTTTGTTTCTAGATTGAGCGATGTTATCTTTTCGATGATTTCGTGCGCAAAACTCTTGAATCGGTAATAAAATTGCGCATCTCTTGCTGATAATTGTCGATAGTATCGATATTTTCGAGAATGTCCTGATGCGCCTTTTCTATCTTGTACTTCGATTCCACATTGAGCAATGTCATCTCTTCGGCAATTTCGTGCACACAACTCTTGAACGAATCAACAATCATAGTCCCAATCTCGTTTTTGATAACGTGAACAGTGCTCGTGACATAACCTCTAGACGTAGCGTCGGAATTGTCCTTCGGCTCGGCAAGATTACGAATTCTGCGCGATTTTGCATCGTAATTTCCCTCCTTCTCGCCATCCACATTCGACGAGGATAACAACGCGAATTCATACACGAAATTTTTCAATAATTCGATCGGCAATCGCGATTGTTCCGCGTAGTTGTAGTCGTTGTAACGCCTTCTCAATGGCATTCCAAATTTATTGACCGCCATCGCGCGTGCACGCGTGTGTGTGTTAAAAACAATTCATTCGAGCGTTATTTGACAAAAAAAAGATTAATTCACTATTATTCCGCCTCGCGAAGCTCCTCTAATATTGAGATAATTTCGTTATCGCGCACATCGTTGCTAGCTCGACGCAACGCGTCGAACAACTGAAGGCGATTCACCAATTGATTGGCATCGTGCACATAATCCATTCTGTTATGTGTTAATGTTATCTTTGAAGGTTGGCAGTGGTGGCGGCGGTGGTGGCGGCGGCGGCGCCAATGATAACGCGACACCAGAGCCCGCCGCCTCTGTCGTGTCACTCGTGAACGCTAATCGCGTTCGCGATCGTTTTATAAGCGGAGCGATAATATGACTCCATTTGTAACCTTTGTTTCCCATTGCAGGATTTGTGGCTCGATGACTACGTTTGTGCACGGATGTTGTCATTAATATCTTTATGTATGTCTTCAGATCGTTGTTCGTGAAAATCAATTCGTCGGGTATTCTCTTGAATATTAATTCGTATAGCCCGGGCGTGCCTATGTACGTCACATCGCCTATAGTCACGGAGTTGTCCGCGTTTACGCGAAAAGTTTTGTTTCCGAGCATCATAACATCCTTGTCGTTCATGTACACGCCGTACATGTGGTCTAAATCGCGACCCGAGTCGCCCCCGAGAAAAAGATTCACATATTTGCTTCCCAAAGGTCCCCACGTCGGCGGCGATCTTTCCGGTGTAATAGACACGCGATCGAGGCTGTCGTCTCTAATCTCCAAAATACGCCTTCCTCCGCACCGTTTTTGGCGGCATCATACTCCTTCGACGTGACTGTAGCCACTACGAATTGACGTCGTCTTTCGAACAATATTTATCCACCATGTCTTCCTTCAGCCAAATATTATAAATGTCAAGGAGCATCTCGTTATTGACACCTTCGTACACCCGCTGTACCTCCAGATTGATCTTCCTCTGCTGCGTCAGATATTTCGACACACTCGCTATCAGCATCCTCAGATTGCGAGGAGCCGCAAATAACTCGTTCCACGCCTCGCAAACAAAATCGCTGGGTGTAAAAAGATACATCACCTCTTCTTCTTCAGCGGCGGCGGTGTCGTTCGTCATTGCTTCCTTGTCATCGTCTTCGCAATCCGACAGCGATACACACACGGCCTTCTATTGACTTCTCTTACTCAGGCGCTGCATCTTGCTCAAACTTTTATTCCCTTTATTACTCTGAGGAGTCGTATGCGGCAGTCCTTATTTATACGACTTTCCGAACACGTAACACACTGTGCGCATCAGCCTTTTCCGCGATAAGACAATTCGCCGCAGCATTCTTTTCCGCGATAACTTTCGCTGATTAATCAGAAAATTTGCGACAACGAGGAAGTGCAACGGATACCGCATTCTTTTTTAGATTTTTTATCTAAAAATTGCATAAAGTGATGCATATTACTATCAGCTCTGAGATACTATATAAATCCGGTCAGTCGATTCTTCCGCAAACACACTGTGACAACGACGACGACCAGAACCACCGCAATTTGTTTTCTTCGATTTTTGTCGCGGATCCGACGGATGAAGTTCCCGTGGGCGAGCGACCGAGCGCGCTGATCTCGCCTAGCGCTAGGCGCGGTTAGGTTGTAGGTGATAGCCGTATGACACAATATATTCAACTCACAATCACTGCTTTATTTAGCGGTACACAAACTAAAGAGTGTTGAGTGCGAGCGAGGATCGACGGTTACAGAGGTACGACGGAAATCTTCTAGGTGCCGACGGCCGGGTCAGCCGATCGCGGCGGAGATCTTGCTGAGCGCGTCGGAGGCGCTCCGCGGACGGATATCTTGAGCGCGAGCGACGGAAATCTTCCGCGTCCCGGACACCCGCGGTCCGTCGGTCCTGCGCCCTTGCTTGCACAATTCACAAACAGCGATTAAAAAACACTTTGAGATGCTCGATTGCACGTCGGTGGTCAGCGGCCGTAGACGCGGAGGCGACACTGACCAGGAGAAAGAGCAATTGAGCGCGGTTGCTTTTACGAGCCGACGGTTGCGAGGAGTGCAGCCAGATCGGCGATGAGAGAGCGAGGCGAGAGCCGGCCCGAGAGATTGAGAATAATCTCTGGCGCTCGATAAGCCTCGCTAGAGAACCGAAAACCGCGAAGCTGCTCGCGTACCGATACAACTGAATCGTAACTGGTGAGATCGGATGGTCAGCTGCCAGTTCGAGAGAAACGACGAACGGTCGCGAGGAGCAGAATACCGGCTGCTCCGGCGCTCCGAGAAAACAGCTGATCGAGCTGGTCGAGCGCACGCGACGTTCACTACGTTATGAGCGGGATTGCGTCCGATGACGGCGAAGTGAGCTTTTAACGAAAAAGCTCTTGACGACAAAGCGATCGCTTATTGGTTGCGGTTGTCAAGCGGCTCGCTCGCTGCGAGAAAAATGCCTTATATGGACCGCTTGGCAACATCGGCGATCTAACGCTAGAGTAGACTCGCGCCTATGTTTTATTTGTTTGGCCGAATGGTTGTCTTGGCAACCGCGACAAGCGAGCGAACTGTAGCGTGAAAAAAGCGGCTTCACGCGGGGGATCGCTCGGTTGTCGCTAAGAGACTTGCTCGACCGAATGTTCTAGAACATTCGGTCGACTTTTCGAGACTGCCTGTTGCGATCTCGAACATCCCGCCCGCCACGAAGCCTCCGCTTCAGTGACAATGACATACTAGGTAGGAGGCTTCGGAGATGGCAAGACCCTAAGCTAAGGCGGAAAATACAATTTGAACTTAAACTAACGGAGCGCACGCGACTTACAACTATCGCGTAATTAGGCGGGGCTCGCATCGGACTCGATTGGGAGCACGCACACTTTATTGAGGGGCCGTGTAAATTCTGAAGTAGCCGTTCGCACAGTGACGACGCGCGTTAATCCGTCAGCTCCGGGATGAGTTTTAACTACTCGCGCGAGCTCCCATTTACAAGGCGGCAGATTGACATTCTTGAGAAGCACGAGCTGGCCGATTCGAATATTTGGTGCCTTGGCTCGCCACTTGCTTCGTTGCTGGAGGGTATTGACATAGTCGGAATACCACAATTTCCAGAATTTTTCTGTTAGATGTCGAATCTGTTGCCAACGGGATAGACGGTTTTCGCTGACGTGTAAGAGAGACGACTCGGGACTCGTAGTCAGCGAGGACCCGATCAAAAAATGACCCGGCGTAAGGCAGTCGAAGTCGTCGAGGTTATCCGATAAGGGTGCGATCGGACGCGAATTTAAACACGCTTCGATTCGACAGAGGAGAGTGGTGAACTCCTCGAACGTTAGAGTATGAGAGCTCAGAACGCGTCGCAAATGAAATTTGAGGCTTCGCACTCCCGCTTCCCAGATACCACCGAAGTGCGGAGCGCTTGGTGGGATAAAGTGCCACGAGATATTGTCTGTGGCGATCTTGTTTTGGAAATTAGGCTCGCGGACAGCGGTTTGGTACGCGGCCTTCAAGTCCCGATTAGCGCCGACGAAGGTGGTTCCGTTATCGCTGTAGAGAGATTGCGGAAGTCCGCGGCGGGCACAGAAGCGATCGAACGCGTTGAGAAACGAACCGGTTAAGTAATCGGAAACGAGTTCGAGGTGTATAGCGCGCGAAGCTAGACAAACGAATAAGGCAATATAAGCTTTATGAGATTTGCTTCCTCGGCCGGCTGATGCGCGGATGACGATCGGGCCAGCATAGTCGACTCCGCTATGCGCGAAACTGCGAGGCGGGGCAGTGATGCGAACGGTCGGGAGATCGCCCATCTTCTGAATCGGAGCGGCGGCACGTTCGCGTGTGCAGACGATGCACCGATGGATCGCTGCCTTGACGATGCTTCGCGCGCGAAGCACCCAGAAATCGCGCCGAACGACACTCAGCGTTAACTGCACCCCGGCGTGAAGAGATCGAATGTGCGCGTGATCGATGAGAAGAGCGACAAGCGGATGAGAGGCGAGCAAAATCGGATGTCTCTTTATCGAAGGACTAATGGCCTTTCGAAGCTGCCCGCCTACGCGCATCAATCCGTTCTCGTCCATGAAAGGGTCTAGGGCGAGAATCGGGGTACTCGCGGGGAGACGACGGCCATGAATAAGAGAGTTTCGAGCTTCGGCGAATAGTTCCGATTGAATCCGGATGAGCCAGAAGGTCCGCGCGGAGGTCACCTCTGATGCTTGAAGCAAACGGCCGCCCGCGAAATCGTCTGAGCAATTGAGATTTCGGCGACGGCATCGCGAGAGAAACCGAAACATGTAAGCAGTGACGCGGAGGAGTCGCGGCCATGACGAGTATCTGTCAGCGAGATCCCACTGCGGAGGGCGCGGGACGGACAAGTGTGCAACTGTTCGTGCCTCCGGAGGCTCCTCCAAAGGAGGTGACGCCTAACTTGGCCACTGGTCGCGAGACAAGCTCAGCCAGGGCGGCCCACGCCACCACAGTTGATGAGATACGAGTTCGCTCCCGAGCAACCCACGTGAGGCACAGTCGGCGGGGTTGTCGGACGTGATAACGTGTCGCCATTCGACTCCGCGCAATCGACCTTGGATATCGGATACGCGATTCGCGATGAACGTTTTCCATCGCGACGGGTGATGGCGAAGCCACGAAAGAACGACGGTGGAATCGGACCAACATGTGCATGCTATGCTCTCGATTCGGATAAACGAACGAATGCTATCGATCAAATGAGACAGAAGAACCGCGGCCATTAACTCCAATCGTGGTATAGTGACGGGCTTGAGCGGCGCTACCTTTGATTTTCCTTGAAGCAGGGTGACGGTCACGGAGCCTGCTGCGTCGATGAAACGAAGGTAGACGACGGCGGCGTACGCTCCGTTCGACGCGTCCGCGAAACCGTGCAATTCCGCAACGCCGTGATCAGAATAACCTGTCCACCAAGGTAGACTGATGTTGCGGAGACATGGAAGATCGCGATAAATGCGTTGCCAACGGTTGAGCACCGCGACAGGAACGCGCTCGTCCCACGGAACGCCGACCCTTCACAACTGTTGCATAACGAGTTTCGCCGCGAGTATGACCGGCGTGAGCAAACCGAGCGGATCGTATAATTTGGCGATAGCAGCGAGAATTTCGCGTTTCGTTTCCTGAGAAGCAGGGAGAAGAGAAACGCGAATTTGAAAGGCGTCCGGTTTAGGACTCCACTCCAGCCCGAGCACGTTTACAACGTCGGATTCCGACAACGTTCGGCTGCACGACATCCCGTGATCCGATTCGTCAATATCGGCCAAAAGCGCGGGGGAGTTGCTGGCCTATTTTCGCAATTCGAACCCTCCGCGCCTCAAGAGGAGAGTCAACTGATCGCGAATCGTGCGAAGCTCCTTCTCGTGGTCATGCCCGAATAAGACGTCGTCGACGTAGATGTGATCGCGAATGATAGACGCGGCGCGAGGATATGATTCGCCTTCGTCGAGCGCGAGTTGGCGAAGGACGCGCAAGGCTAGAAAAGGAGCGCAGGCCAAACCGTAGGTGACTGTCAGCAAACGATACGCGACGACGGAACCATCAATTGTTTCCTTCCAAAGCATTCTTTGGAAGTCGAGATCGTGAGAATTAAGAAGAATTTGGCGATACATTTTCGCGATATCGGCCGAGCAAACGCATCGAAACTGTCGCCAACGCAGTAACACCGCGGTGAGATCTGCTTGTAATTTTGGACCTGTCATTAGCTGGTCGTTCAGGCTCGAACCGGTCGAAGTTGGACTCGAAGCGTTGAAGACAACGCGGACTCGAGAGGTGAGGCTTGAGTTTCGGAAGACCGGATGATGCGGTAGATATACGCAAGATTGAGAATCGCTCGTAGCAGGCGCGAGCTGCAAATGGTTTAATCGAGCGTATTCATTTACAAACGCGCGGTATTCTGCGAGGAGATCGGGTTGACGCTGAAGGCGCCGAAAGATCGCGTGTAATTGTCGTTCGGCGAGGCGTCGCGAATCGCCGAGTGCGACAGGACGTTCAGATTTGAATGGAAGCCGCACGATGTAACGCCCGGTCGCGGTGCGTGAATGCGTTGCAAGAAAATGCGCTTCGCACTCCTCGTCCTCGGGAGACGCTATGGCTAGACGCGGCACTTCCTCGACTTCCCAAAATCTCTGAACGCTTTCTTCTAATGAGGGCGAAAGGAAACAGTGTAGCGACGAAATAGATATCTCGCTCCGCGAGGAGGGACGCGAAGAACGAGACGCTGAAGCGGCGCGAAGTGTCGGTGTCGGCCCTGAAATCACCCACCCGAATATCGAGTTCTGAGCGACCGGTTGATTACGATTGCCCTTAAGTACTCCGTCACGAATGATAGCGCCGTAAACGTCCGCGCCGAGGATGAGGTGAATCGGGTCGTCGCCTGTAGGATCTGGGTCGGCTAACGAGAGCGAAGACAGATGGGAGATTGACGCGAGCTCCGCGACGTGACGCGGTGAAAACGACGTTAGCGAAGGAAGAATGAGCGCGGTGGCCGAAACCGTCGGAGATGGCGAGCTTCGCGGCGACACTAATATACAAGCGGCGTGGCGAAAGGTGCCGGCGCTGACGCACCCGACGGCCGAAACCGAAGTGAGCCGACTCCGCTTGAGTCGCAACGATTGAGCAAGATGCTCCGAGATGAACGACATCTCGGAGCCTTGGTCCAACAGCGCTCGAACATCGCTAGAGCGGCCGTCGACTCCACTGACTTTAACTTGAGCGGTGGCAAGTAAGATTTGAGACGAAGCTCGCTTGTTGCGCGAGGCGAGAAGCGATTGAACTGCAGCTCGAGAGCCGTCGCTTGGAGTCGACTGACCGGTACAATTTTCGGTTTCGAATTTGGCAGCGGTCGACGAGCTCGAGTGAAGCAGCGAGTGATGTCGTTGATGACAAGATCGACAGGAATACTTGCTTGTGCAATTCTGCACTGAATGACTATGACTCAGGCAATTAAAGCAACGACCGTGCTTCTTGACGAGCTCGCGACGCTGTGTCGGTGTCCCTCGCACGAATGACGGACACGCACTAAAGAAATGACGCGATTTACATATCGGACACTGTGGATTCGTGACAGCGGACACCGTTGCGGCACTGATTTGACAAGTTGAACCACTCCGAGCACACGCTTTAGATGATGCGGCGCAAGCTAATTCGTCGAAAGCGCGCGCGCGAGATGCTAAAAATCTGTCAAGATCGTTAAACGACGGAGGCTCGGCGTGATCCGCGACCTTGAGACTCCACGCTTTTCGAGAAGATGAATCGAGACGCTGAACGACGAGATGGACGAGTATGTCGCTCCACAGATCCGACGGACTGCGCGGCAGATGGATAAGCGATGCGACCGCGGTTTTAACTCGATCGCGTAGAGTTTGAAGCTCGACGGCGGATTCACGCGTGACAGTTGGCAAATTAAGCAAGGCTGATAAATGAAGTTGCAAGAGCCGTCCTTTATTCTCGTAGCGCGAAACGAGAACTTGCCAAGCGATATCAAAATTAGCGGCTGTCACAGGAAGATTATTGATACAAGAAAGCGCTTGACCTTTAAGACACGAAGTAAGAAAATGCATTCGCGAAAAATTATTTAATTCAGGATTACGAATTATGAGAGACGTAAATCGATCGCGGAACGACTCCCAATCTAGTTATCTAGTTGACCGTCAAACGGCGGTAAACAAATCGGCGGTAATTGTGCGAGAGACACCGAGGTAGCGCGTTGCTGCTGACCGGCGTTGGAATCGTTATGAGGACTTACGGGAGGTTCGAGTTCCTCAAGAGCCTCAGTGAGATGATCCAACGTTGACCGGTAGATCTCCTCAGTTTGATCGAAGCACTGCCCGCTGAAGTAGTCGACTGATTCTTGCTGCGTGGCTGGTGTGGACTGGAGGAGCACTGCGTTGCCGCTCTGGAACTGCTGCCACAGCTCACGTAGCGCGGAGATGCGAGAACGAATTTTAGCTGCCGTCAGATTGGCTCGTCCCAATTTTTTAAAGTTCTCGAGGAACCGATCTAGGGAACGCTGCAGCTGCTGCTGCCGAGTCCATATTTCAGCCATCATGAGAAGCTCTTTGGTTAATAGACTTTATCTGTGTCACCCTCACCGAATCCGGCTCGAAGGACCACTTTCTTTGTCGCGGATCCGACGGATGAAGTTCCCGTCGGCGAGCGACCGAGCGCGCTGATCTCGCCTAGCGCTAAGCGCGGTGAGGTTGTAGGTGATAGCCGTATGACACAATATATTCAACTCACAATCACTGCTTTATTTAGCGGTACATAAACTAAAGAGTGTTGAGCGCGAGCGAGGATCGACGGTTACAGAGGTATGACGGAAATCTTCTAGGTGCCGACGGCCGGGTCAGCCGATCGCGGCGGAGATCTTGCTGAGCGCGTCGGAGGCGCTCCGCGGACGGATATCTTGAGCGCGAGCGACGGAAATCTTCCGCGTCCCGGACACCCGCGGTCCGTCGGTCCTGCGCCCTTGCTTGCACAATTCACAAACAGCGATTAAAAAACACTTTGAGATGCTCGATTGCACGTCGGTGGTCAGCGGCCGTAGACGCGGAGGCGACACTGACCAGGAGAAAGAGCAATTGAGCGCGGTTGCTTTTACGAGCCGACGGTTGCGAGGAGTGCAGCCAGATCGGCGATGAGAGAGCGAGGCGAGAGCCGGCCCGAGAGATTGAGAATAATCTCTGGCGCTCGATAAGCCTCGCTAGAGAACCGAAAACCGCGAAGCTGCTCGCGTACCGATACAACTGAATCGTAACTGGTGAGATCGGATGGTCAGCTGCCAGTTCGAGAGAAACGACGAACGGTCGCGAGGAGCAGAATACCGGCTGCTCCGGCGCTCCGAGAAAACAGCTGATCGAGCTGGTCGAGCGCACGCGACGTTCACTACGTTATGAGCGGGATTGCGTCCGATGACGGCGAAGTGAGCTTTTAACGAAAAAGCTCTTGACGACAAAGCGATCGCTTATTGGTTGCGGTTGTCAAGCGGCTCGCTCGCTGCGAGAAAAATGCCTTATATGGACCGCTTGGCAACATCGGCGATCTAACGCTAGAGTAGACTCGCGCCTATGTTTTATTTGTTTGGCCGAATGGTTGTCTTGGCAACCGCGACAAGCGAGCGAACTGTAGCGTGAAAAAAGCGGCTTCACGCGGGGGATCGCTCGGTTGTCGCTAAGAGACTTGCTCGACCGAATGTTCTAGAACATTCGGTCGACTTTTCGAGACTGCCTGTTGCGATCTCGAACAGATTTTCTATAAAAACAAAGAGAGAAAGAGTAAGTAATCCCCCAGAAATAAAAAAATTTTTATATTTATTAATATTATTTTATTGAAATTTTTAATATATTATATTGTAATTCTTTTTTAGGGCATAAAAGCAACGCCTGAACAATTGAATAAAAATTGGCACGAGCAGTAGAGTCCTATCGACGAGGTCCTGCCGGAGGACCACTTGCGAGAAGACACAAATATCACCCTCAATGAGTGCTACTGCCTCAAGAACATCTCGGAGGAAAACGTGTTCATACAGGACGGATGCTACCGCCGAAGATGTGCGAACCATATTCTCAACGCGGAGCACCCGAATAATTACAAACTCAAACACACACGACATACAATATACATTGCAGTACTTACTCACCTTAGATCGCACTCTTCTGCTAAAAAACAAATTGTTCAATACGCAGGAGAGGCGATCAAGTGTCGAGAGTACATCGAGGACATCGTCTGGTTAACAGAGCCGGCATCCTCAAATTGCGCGAAATTATTGTTGAAAAATATTATTGAAAAACTGAATAAAAAAATATTTTTAATACAAAAAATTGTCCATTTCATCTTCCTTTCCGATATAAATTAGATTATTATTATCATTAACAGAGCGACCACATTCGCTACAGCGTTCCTCTCCTTCTCTCATGGCGATAACGACGAACAACAGGACGTAAATATTTAGCGCGTATCCAGCGGCTAACGCCGTCGACGTCACCGTCGCCGCGAGTCACCATCGCCGCAAGACCAGGCGGCAGTGGTAAAGGAGACAACGATGACGACAACGGTATCAACGACTACGACGTTCCTCAGAACGTTACAGTCGACGCATTACGATGAAACCGCCGCCGTCTCCTCCTTCTTTAAGTAAATATTAATTTGTTGCCGCAGTTCGTCGCGCGCAGCGTGCCACCTTTAACTGCAGCCTAACACCTCGTTCTACTATTTTTTCTTTTATCACACGCGCGCACGCACGCATGGTCGATTAGACCGCCGCGAGCCATCTTTCTGTCGCGCCATCGGCGCATTGAATCTGCTAACTGATCAAAGGTTCGTTTATGGATCCTCCTCTACAGGTTGGGAAGTGTTCGGCTCTCCGCTTGCCCCTGTACCTCCGCGTCCATCGCTTGCGGTTTCCTCGCGCGCTCACCGCGGCCTCTTAGCCCTGTTTCTCCGCGCTCCTATCCTTGAAAACCTGCTTATATGATCTACTCGCTTATTATACTTTCTTGTATCTTCAACCAGTTACGAGATATTTGCTCGAATATTTATGGACGGACACCTTGTGTGTGTGCGTGCGTGCGTGCGTGCGTGCGTGCGTGCGTGCGTGCGTGCGTGCGTGCGTGCGTGCGTGTGTGTGTGTTTTAGAGGTGGGAAAATACCTTTACGTATCATCAGGCGCGATGTTCTGCCTGGTATGTCGGACTCAGATATTTTAACATTTCTAATACCGACTAAAAAACCTCCTCTTTCTTCTGCCTCTGTTTCCCCCGCGGAACCGCCGTTAGACATTACTTCGCGGGGGGAGGATCTAGCTACTGCTCTTCCTTCAGGTAGTTGGAGTCACTGCTTCTCTCCTTCTAATCATCATTTTTCCGGTTCGCCTCCTTTCCATGCAACGAAGATCCTGGAGAACTTCCGTCGTGAATGTGCTGGTCGCGTTCCAAGCCGCCCTCGACAAAAGCATCGCTTCCACCAAGTTCTCTGGTCGAATTTCTTGTCATAGAACAGCTTCCCATGCACTGCGCAGCGAATTGAATCGGGGACACGCAAAGAACACGTGCTCCGCATCTTCACTGACTCCGGGGCAGGATGGGCACTCCGGAGAATCCTCATGTTTGAATCGATGAAGATACGCTCGGAAGCACCCATGTCCTGAAAGCATTTGAGTCAGGTAGTGGTTGACCTCACCATGATTGCGGCTCAACCAAACATTTAGTCTTGGTAGAAGACGGTATGTCCATCTATCCCTGGTAGATCCTCTCGTCGTGGTATCCCATAGCATTTGCCATCGCTGTATGCTATTTCGCCGCTCCTCGATTCCGAGTTCCTCGGCACTAATCGTATTTGATCTCCTTCGCCGATAGAGGGCTTGTCGTTCTTCAGCAAGCACTTCGATGGGTAGCATCCCAGCAATAGCGCACGCGGCATCCTCAGACACCGTGCGGAAAGTACTGGTGACCCTCAAACTCTCCAACTCTCAGCGTGATGTTTTTCACTTGCTGTCTGCTGGTTATGAGCACCGCTTTGGTCTTGTGCTCTGCCAATTCTAAATTAACTGCCCTCATCCACTGGCTGATCCTCTCGTAAGTGATATCGAAGGCGAGGTTTATCTCTTCGAGATGTTTCGCGACGATCACTATGGCCACGTCGTCTGCATATGCCACGAGTTTAGCCTCTCTAGGTAATTCCACTTTCAATAAGCCGTCGTACATGATATTCCACAAGAGAGGACCCAGCACCGAGCCCTGGGGCACTCCTCCAGTGATTCTGTGTTTTTTCGGACCAGTCTTTGTATCGTATTTCAAGATCCTATCAGTAAAGTATCCAGCTACCATCTTTCGTAGGTATGCTGGTACGTTCATATGGTTGAGAGCCCCCACAATGCAATCCCACCCAGCAGAGTTGAATGCGTTTTTGATGTCAAGTGTGACCATCAAACAATACTTCTTCGCACCTCCCTTCCATCTGGTTCCTGCAATTGCATTCCTGGCTGTGCTGACAACCAGGTTAATCGCATCTAAGGTTGAGCGTCCCTCCCGGAAGCCGTACTGGTTGCCAGCGAGCAGCGATTCGACTGCTGCGTCGATTCTTTGATGGACTATTCGTTCCAATATCTTGCCAGCTGTGTCCAGCATGCAGAGCGGACGATAAGTTGATGGCTCGTCCGGTGGTTTCTTCCCTTTAGGAAGAAGCATTAACCTCTGCTGCTTCCATTTCCAAGGGAAAGTACCCTCTTTGAGGCATGCGTTATAGACCTCCAAGAACAGTGATGGCGCCGCTTTGATGACTGCTTTAAGACTGACATTCGGGATTCCATCCAGGCCCGGGGCCTTCTTATTTCCCACTCTATTACACGCTTCCATCAACTGTGCCTCGGTAACCGGAGGGATTTCTTCTTTCTCGCACTGCTCTGCCAAATGATGGACCTCTCTTTGTTGAGGAAACAACGCAGTGACGATCCTCTCCAGAAGTTGAGGGCACATTGGTGACGGCATTAACTGGCCTTTTAGGCGGGTCGTAACCACCTTATACGGCCTGCCCCATGGGTCCCTCTCCACCTCGTTGATCAGCTCATTCCAGCATTTTCGCTTGCTGTCCCTGATTGCTGCATTCAGTTTTCGGCGTGCTGCCTTGTATTCTGCCACCAGTTCTACAGATTTCGATCTGTTACGGCCACGCTGTGACGCCCTTCTCGCTCTGAGGCATTCTCTGCGGAGGACGCTGATAGCCTCATTCCACCAGTGCACCGATGGGCGATGATTAGTACTGCGTTTTCGGGGCATGCTAACATCGCAAACTTGGACAATTCCCTTTATCAGATCCTCTGCCTTCCTTTCAGCATTTCCACCACTGATTGGGCCCTTATTTAGAGCCACTATAAACGCGGTCTCATCAAAGGAGCTCACCTTCCAACCAATTGCAGTAGTTGGTTGGTGTGCTCTTCCAGCCTTCTGGTCGGTAGACACCGTCCATAAAATTGCACAGTGGTCACTGGCCGTATATATATCCGTTACCTTCAAGGAGCAGTCTCCCCTCGCCAGGCAGCTGCTGACAAAA